TCCCGTCTTGAGTACTGCTCAGTACTCACTTCCCCCTTCAGAGCAGGAGAGATTGCTGAAATAGAGGGAATACAGAGAACATATACGGCACGCATAGACGCGATAAAGCACCTAAATTATTGGGATCGTCTCAAAGCCCTCCAAATGTACTCACTAGAAAGAAGACGAGAGAGATATCAAATAATATACACCTGGAAGATACTGGAGGGCCAAGTACCAAATCTACACAGTAAAATAACAACGTACTGGAGTGAACGACATGGAAGAAAATGCAGAATAGAACCAGTGAAGAGCAGAGGTGCCATAGGCACAATCAGAGAACACTGTATAAACATCAGAGGTCCCCGGTTGTTCAACACCCTCCCAGCAAGCATAAGAAATATTGCCGGAACAACCGTGGACATTTTCAAGAGGAAACTAGATTTATTCCTCCAAGGAGTGCCGGACCAACCGGGCTGTGGTGGGTATGTGGCCCTGCGGGCCGCTCCAAGCAACAGCCTAGTGGACCAAACTCTCACAAGTCAAGCCTGGCCTCGGGCCGGGCTTGGGGAGTAGAAGAACTCCCAGAACCCCATCAACCAGGTATCAACCAGAGGAGTAACGTCATTTTAGAATAACATAAACGTGGAGCTAATTACTGTTATTAGCCACCTGAATTGGTCTGAGTATGGAAGGCTTAGACGGAATTCATACCTTAATGTAAATTGCTGAGCCAGTGTGAAAGGTTGCGTATTTTTATTGTTTAATTATTGATCTTGAGGATAATAATTAATTACTCTAAAGGTAATCACGAGTGATTACCGTTCTCTTAGCACTTTGGACATTGTAAATCAGAGTTTACCATCGCTGAGTGATTAGTAACCGATTAACGTAAATTAACGTAACTAGTAAAGAGATTAATCAGCTGTCTGGTAGTACAGGGATTAATTAATGGGATTTTCTCACTGAATGCTCGACATGTAGAGTGTTGTGTAATTTCTGCGTTACTAGTGACAGTTGTAAGAGTTATTAAATTAACGTAAATGTTATTTTGTTATTAACGTAAATGTTATTGTGTTATTAACGTAAATCAATTGTTATTGATTGTTGATCGTCCGTGGCACGGAGTGTTAACATAAGGATTAATTTGAGGAAGGGTTGCTGGAGTTGCCAGTGAACCCATTAGTTATTGTTGTCATTGAAAGACTACTGATTTGATTGCATTGCATCCGCCATTGCAGGTGTAGACTGCACTGAGGCGTAGAACAGTTAGGAGGTTACTGGAGACGTGTTTCAAAACCCACTGTGTCATTTGTTGTAATTGTGATTATAGATCTGTTAGTTCTTGTTTCTTGATTGATGCCTCTGTGTTCACGCTTATATTCGAGTTAGTTCATTATGCAGTCCGAGGGGCTGGTGTCTAGCTGTCATTGATAGTGTCACAGGAAGGATTTCGAGTAACGTCATTGACATTTCTTTTTGTTTTGTTGTAGTAGTTAGTACTTTATTGAATAAACTAAGTTGTTATGGTTAACACTGTCTTTTCGTTACACCCCACACATTATTATTGTTATGCATGTGTTCTTCACACTCGACTAATAAAATTGAGACCGATTCTGAGTTTTGGACCAAATATACGGCACCACACAATAAATTATTGTTGTGAGCCCAGGACCTACTCGTTAGATTCGCTTCGGCGATTGGCGAAGGTCGACGACCAAGTGGAGGGGATTTCAATTTTCATTGGGGTCTCGGCGTTTGCTCGCGCCTAGTCAATTGTTCATACATGGTCCCAAAGTGAGGAATGAGCTGCTTACTACACTGGTGTGTTAGCTAAGCAAGTCCTTCCTCAGGCGACCTAATTGAATATCACGACAGGAATAAAGGTTAAAGAATAAAGAAAATTCTTAGAAATTTTCCGAGCTCAATTCCTTATACCAATTTCATTTATTCCACCACTTAAAACTCTCACAATATCTATGTAAAAATAAATACCAAATTCCACTTACTTTGGCTCTGGGGACGTGGACAAGGTGCGCTGTGACATCATCAGGGGCTGGTCGCCCGTGCGTGACACGCCCAGACACGGTCGCCCGGGCCATTCAAGCATCAGATGTTGGCACAAATATATTTTCAATTATCTGTTTTATGTATTTCCAATTTGGTTTTATTTGTTTGTTTTTTTATCGTATATGATGCATATTTGTATCCTTTACAATATGTATACAGCAGAATGTTCATAATGTTCCATGAAACTGTGATACATATGTCAGTAATGTGTCAACAATAAATGTTTATTGTTGCAATATTACGTGTTAAAAATTCACTAAAATTACAATATGTACAGTTTCACACACTATTTACACAGTAACACACTGTATTACACACTAAGTACTTCGGAAGTGAGTAATAATCAATGAAGTAGTTCAGGGTACACAGCGCGACTTCGCTCTCGTTGCACCAGGTACAGATAGAATTTCGCTTCCTGTTTCTTTGTTCTGTGTGTGTGCAAATAACGCACTCATGTACACCCTTGGCATTAGTACCTGTAGGTAGTATGTAGCCAAGCTTGTAAAATGTAAGGTAGTCGTGAAAAGATCACCTTGTAAGGTCCCACACAAGAAGAGATTCAGCCAGCCTCAAAGAGTGTCTGTCAGTCTGGAAGAGATTCAGCTAGCCTCAAAGAGTGTCCGTCAGTAAAGAAGAGATTCAGCTATTCTTGAAAATATCTATGGAAAACACCACCATGGAAGCCGCTAACACTGCTCATCTATGCTACTTGTATCAGATGCATCATCACTGAATGCAGAAAACGATTCATCTATGTATCATCTAAATAAATTGGAGATAGCATAGATGGGCAAGGGTGGCGCTCAGAGCTACAACTGGATACGCTCGCTGTATCGTCCTCATAGGTGCTGTAACACTTGCATCTGATCTTTGTGTTAGGTCCTATTGCGTCTAGCTTCACCAATATTATGACCCTTATATTCTTCAAACATTAAGGTTTGAATTTCACTGACAAAGCACGATCTTTCAACTCGCGTCGGACAGGTGTTTGGGAGCCAGAGGCGCGTGTGCCACTTGGTACTAGCCCAGCCACCAGGCCCTAGGGCATAAGGGGAATTTTTTCCTAGATGGCTACCTCTCACTGGAGGTCCTAAGAGTTCATTTCGTACACAACCAACCTCGCACACATTTAGAATGGGTACGAAAAAATCAAAATGAGCTTTCTCGGTTGGCAAACCGCGTATTCTCGGTTGGCGCAGTTAAGTGGTTAAGGAGAGCGTTTGGGATCTTCTCTGATGTAGGTTCGAACCATCTTCATGGCCCTTGTGGATTTATTTATTTATTTAATTTATATACAAGAAGGTACATTGTGTTTGAGAATACATAGCATAGTATTTACAATCTTGTAAAGCCACTAGTACGCGCAGCGTTTCGGGCAGGTCATTATCTAACTATTACCTAACAGATAATTTTAAGTAGGTAAATTCTAGCAGAATTAATAAAATGATAACAGATACATTGCAAGAAAAAAAAATGAGATGAGAGAGAATAGTAAGTATATTAAAGCACATTGGTATATTAAAGCTCTGGTTGATTACATTGACAACTTGATTGTTAATTTAAACAAGATTAACAGACACCATACAGCAGCTTGATAGCACATATAAGAAGACAGCAATGATCACAATGGTAAAGCCATTATTCATTTATTACTCTTATGTTCTTTGTACACAATCTTTTGAATAATAATAATATTTTTAATATTATTATTTATACACATAAAATCACACTAACGTGATATATATCAATGAGAAAATTCACTCGGGCTGTGAGGCGATGCGAACCTGCAATGTTTGCGTCACCTCACAGCCCCAGTGGATCGTTCATTGATGTACATCTCCTTAGTGCGATTTTCTGTGTATCTGAAGATGGGCATACGGTGTTCAACTACAATACTTAACCCCTTCACCTGAGTGCTTAGGGGCCTTACTATGGTATTTGTGCTTGGGGCTCTACTACCCAAAATCACTTACGTCCTCTAATTACTCAACACAAAGCTGCTATTAGGACAATATCCAACTCTGGCCCCAGGCATCACTCGGTACCCCTACTCAAATCTCTGAATATGTTAGACATTAAGTCACTGCACATTCTCTCATGTGTATTATACATATATAAAACGCTAAACTATAATGCCAATCCTGATCTCAAAAGCTTCATAGAAGGATGTAACAGAACCCATGAGCACCACACCAGAAATAAATACAGTTTTGATATTCCTAGAGTACGACTTAATCAAACTAGAAATGCTCTACAAATCAAGGGGCCCAGAATGTAGAATGACCTTCCCAACCATGTTAAAGACTGTACCTCTCTCAACCAGTTTAAGTCAAAAACGAAGCTATACCTAATAAATTCCCTGTAACCTACCTTACCCTTCTATTGTCAACCAATGTCTGTTTTTTTTAAGAGCGCTGTTTGTTGACATAATTGTATTTGTGCTGCTTTTTCATCTATGTTTTCATTTCTTGTTTTCATTCTACTCATTATGCTCAATTAGTATTAAGCTTGTCATTGAAGTTTATCATGCCCGAAATGCTTTGCGTAATAGTGGCTTTAGGCATTGTATGTACTAGCTCTACCTATAAGTCAACCAATCTTTGTAAAAATTTATTGTATGTATGTACCTTACCTAAATAAAAAATTATTATTATTATTATTATTATTATTATTATTATTTACGTAAAACTTGGACTGGCTTCAGGACTTCATGTGATATCAGTAGAAATCTGATTGTAAGACTTTTAGGAAGTCAGTGGTGGTACAGTGGTAGAGTATGCAGCTGGCAATGCCTTGGTCGTGGGTTTGCAACACCACACAGTCCCAGTAGATTTTCTCTATTATTATTATTATTATAAAATTTATCATATTCGATAGGCCAATGTCCACACCCCAACAATTGCATGCTGGGGTGTAAGATAATGGTGGAGCAGAAGTACTCCAGTACTTACGGAGTTTGATGAGAGTGCGAGGAACAAGGTGGTCAGGTGGAGCCAGTGACTCCTTCCTTCAACAGTTTTGTCTCTCCCTCGTGGTATATCCTCAATGTCTTCAGTGGTGTGGCCTCACCACACACTTACACTGCCATAGGTGTCCTGAGAGTACTGTGGGAGGGACAATTTAGCGGGTATTGTGGACACAGGTCTTTAAGACAGGCGAACTTCACCAGCCCTGGACACGTCTATAGCAACCTTTGTTGTGATGACGTCACTCGCTCGCTCGCTTACCCGCCACGTTGCTTTTCCCATTTTCTTTGGTTACTGATCTTTGCTGACGTTTAACTTGAGAGCCACTAATACTGGTGGCCTCAACGAGGACAGGAAGTTGGCGGCTTGTCAAAGGTCCTGCCCATTTGCCTGGATGATCTTTTCTATCTGTATTTTAAAACCCAGTAGAGTTTTGGTGTTTACCTTACCTACTCCTTGGCGGGTAGGCTGTTCTACGGGTTTACAACCATACGGGTGAAGAAGCCTCTCCTGTTTTCTGTCCTACATTGTGGCTTGTTGAGCTTGAACCCGTTGCTCCTCGTTCGTATTACATCTGACCTTTTGAAGAAAGTGTCCGGATTGACATCGTCCAAATTGTTGACTTGTGATGGACTCTACTACCGGGACCGTGGACTGTACTACCAGGACCCTGGACTGTACTACCGGGACCCTGGACTGTACTACCGGGACCCTAGACTGTACTACCGGGACCCTGGACTGTACTACCGGGACCCTGGACTGTACTACCGGGACCCTGGACTGTCCTACTGGTGTAAGGGGGGCCAGCCTTTAACCCTCACTTGCCTGGTTAAATGCTGGTCGTTATCAAGTAAAAGTATATACAGGAACCAGAGTATCTACTGTGTTGCCTAATAGTTCACCTCGTCAAGATCTAAACATTTGACAGTTTAGATGTCACGGCGGGAGGATACTGTACCCTTCTATGTTATACTGTAACTCTGAAGTTCTCCGCCACCACCTGCTACCCACTGATTAGCTTCCTCAATTGACGGTGGAGCAGGATACCCTCAACTAGGCATAAACCCCGAAAATGGATCCCCAGTTATCGGAAAAGGATGGGATAAGATTTCGACGTTAGTGTAGGAATTAAATCTAAGTACAAAGGGACTATCTTTGGTATTAAATAAATGCTTGCTGGCTTACAGGGCAGTTATAGCCCCGCTCCTGTGCCAGGTAAGTCCACTACGGGCTCACCATAGCCCGTGCTACTTTGGAACTTTTGTTGTAAGTAGCTGAATCTAAAGCAGCAGCAGGCTTACAGGGGGAACCCAAGTTTCAAACATGGGGACTTAAGATCAACAACAATGAAAAATTATCGTTGGGGAAATTCCACTAAACACCACAAATTCTATAACAGATTTTTTCTGATCAGGGAAAGGAAGACACCAAGCCTTGGGGGCGTAATTTTATTGACATGATAAATAATTCTGCAGAAGTAAAACAGGCTTTTAAATAGGACTTAACAAATGTATAACATAGCCGTGGCTAACGCAAAGTACACGAAACATCTTAAATTGTACACCCGTAGTAAAACGTAATCTTATAGCCTAGTAACAAACTCTGCAGAAACCTAATGTCCTAATGTCTAGAATTAGCAGTGAGGCGAATGTAACAAATCTAATACTAAGTATAACAGGACACCAAAGTGAACAACATAACATAAGGGAAACCCTAGCTGGAGAATAATCAGGCGGCAGAAAACATAGTGACTGGGGAAGCCTGATATGTATTTGGAGAAGAAAATAACCCCAGGCCAGAGGCCGAGCCGCCAAGGAAGGAATTACCTGACAAGGTAGGGCTTACTAGTAGAATGTCTGTAAAGTCAAAGTAGTAGCTGCGGACAGCGGAACACTTGGGGACGGGCGCTGCACCCCCACCCCGCAGGCCAGCAGGCCGGACCCCCCCCCCCCCCGAAGGGCGAGTGCCCGCTGGCCGCGAGGGAAACCTCAGGGTGGCCAAGCAACTACGCTACCGACTGGGAAGGAAACGTCACTCTCGCACCTGCCTACCGCGATAGTACTGTTCTGCAAGCAGCTCGTTTGCAAGCCCAAACGAGCTGGGCTACACCAGCCAGACAAACGTCTGGGCGAACGAGCTGGGCTACACCAGCCAGACAAACGTCTGGGCGAACGAGCTGGGCTACACCAGCCAGACAAACGTCTGGGACGAACGAGCTGGGCTACACCAGCCAGACAAACGTCTGGGGCGAACGAGCTGGGCTACACCAGCCAGACAAACGTCTGGGACGAACGAGCTGGCCTACACCAGCCAGACAAACGTCTGGGGCGAACGAGCTGGCCTACACCAGCCAGACAAACGTCTGGGGCGAACAAGCTGGCCTACACCAGCCAGACAACAACTGGGACGAACAATCTGGGGACGAGGACAAGCAGGCTGTGCACCAGCCAGACAACGTCTATGAACGAACAGGCTGGGCAACCCCAGCCAGACAAACGCCAGGACAAACAGGCTGGGCTACACCAGCCAGACAAACGTCTAGGACGTACAGGCTGGGCTACACCAGCCAGACGAACGTCAGGGGCGAACAGGCTGGGCTACACCAGTCAGACGAACGTCTAGGACGAACAGGCTGGGTTACACCAGCCAGACAAACTACAGGACAATCAGGCTGTGCTACACCAGCCAGACAAACGTCTAGGGCGAACAGGCTGGTCTACGCCAGCCAGGCAAAACGCCTAGTTACGGACAAAACGAGCAACACCGGACGTACAAACAACTTGGACGAACAAGCAGGGCAACTCCGACCAGTCAAACGTCGGAAGAAGAACATGCCGGACGGCACTGGCTGACGCGAGGCAGCCGTTAACAATAAAGTGGTGGGCCTACCCACCGGGGCACCGCCGCCACAAGGGGGTCCCCTGCCGAGGGCGAGAAGGGAGAAGGACAGGAAGGAAGCGTACACAGCCCAAGGCAAGCGCTCATCGGAGCGCCATGCCACGTGGGTGATGCCGACCTTGGCATGGACCCCTAGAGTCGGGCCCGAGGGACAAAGACAACTAAGAAAAGGAAAACCCGGCCAGGAGGCGTCGCCACCAGGGAGACGCCAGGACGCTCGATCGCAGGGAGCCTGGCCGGACACGCACGGCCAAGCGCATCACGAACCCTGGCCCCTGCAACCAAGCCTAGAAGGCGCAACAGACCAGGTTCCAGGGAAAGACGCCTGGGACGGGGAAGGAAACGAAGGGCATCCCTGGGCGAGTGCTTCACCGAGCTCCAAGCCACGTGGGCGCCGCCTACCGGGCTTGGGCCCCAGGGCTCAGAGCCCTGGAAACCGCCGCGTGGCGTCGCCACAGAGGGCGATGCCAGACCACAGAAGGAGCCTGGCCGAGCACGCACGGCCATGCGCAGGCGAAACAGGCCCCTAGGCAAGCCTAGGGCATAGCAAACCGGGGAGGACCCGCCATGGACGAATGGTCCACCGAGCATGCAAAAGGGCCGGGCCCCAGGGCACCGGACCGCCTAAACCTGGCCAGATGAAGTCGCCGCAGATAACCACCGCACCAATCCCGACCAGGAGGCGCGCCTGCAACCCCAGGGAGGCAAACAGGCGGCAGGCCCTAGGGAACTACCTAAGCGGCACGACGGGCCGCGAGGGACGGCGCAAACACACGCCAGCACTGGGGAAGTCCTGACTAACTTGTACAGGAAACTCTCTTACCTTAGGGTTTGCTGGGTAGGGCAGGGGGCCCCTGCGGTGCCGGCCTGGGATGTGGAAGGCCCCAACGGATCAGGGAAGATCAGGTCTGGGACCAAGGTAGCGGGGATGGAGTCCATTTGCTTGAGAAATCTCGTGTACACAGTAAACAGAACGTAGAAGTGGTAAGGGTACTGGCCCACGTGTCGATGAGGCGTGGTGCTGAGCGTGGAGCCGCTTCGTGAATCGTGGACCTGGTCGGGAGAGGGAGTGAGAGCGAGACCTGACTTCGCGCGCCTTTTATGCCACCCAGGCTGGCCGCACCGCGCCTGCGGGACGCGATGCGCAATTGTCTCTTCCTTTCCCATCAGAAACTCCACCGCCTTTCGTCAAAAGGCAGTGGGCCATATTACAGCAAAGATTAACACTGAAAATAATGGTAAGTTTCAAACGTTCTATCTGAACACTTCCTAAACTGAATACATGAATACAAAAATGATGTGGACTCTACACTGTACTAAAACTTCAGAGACAGATACCTTAAACACAACAGACAGGCCAGTTGTTCAGCCTTACTCTGAGAGATGTTGACCCCCAGGAAGCCTCCAACACACACTAACTAACCTCTCCACACTGACCTCTCAGAGGCTGACCCAGGCTCGTTGTTCAGCCTTACTCTGAGAGATGTTGACCCCCAGGAAGCCTCCATCACACACTAACTAACCTCTCCACACTGACCTCTCAGAGGCTGACCCAGGCTCGTTGTTCAGCCTTACTCTCTGAGAGATGTTGACCCCCAGGAAGCCTCCAACACACACTAACTAACCTCTCCACACTGACCTCTCACAGGCTGACCCAGGCTCGTTGTTCAGCCTTACTCTGAGAGATGTTGACCCCCAGGAAGCCTCCATCACACACTAACTAACCTCTCCACACTGACCTCTCACAGGCTGACCCAGGCTAGTTGCCAGATTAATCTTTGAAAATGATTATTAACTAAAATCCAGTATTTGTCACTGAAGGTGACTTTATTATTCCAAAAAATTGGAATTTATCTAGATTCAGATTCAGATTCAGATTCAGATGTTTATTCAGGTAAGGTATATACATACAAGTGATGTTACATTAATGGATTGATATATAGATAGAGCTAGTACATACAATGCCTAAAGCCACTATTACGCAATGCGTTTCGGGCAAGAAAAACATTAATATCTAGAACTTAATACTAATTGAGCATAAAGAATAAAAGATGTTGAGAACAAATACAAATAAAGATAAAAAAAAAAAAGGGGGAACATGACTGAAAAAGCAGCAC